CGGGGATTAATAAAGTCTATCTACCTACCTATCTATCTATTAAATTGCATTTACCACCAGTCTGATAAAGGGGGGCTGCTTTCAACCAAAAAGTACCCAGATCATCTATGTCTCTTAAAATCAGATTTTCAATGAGCACAGAGAAACTTCCACTTTCAGCAGACAAATGTGAAAACATCCTAGTGTCAAAGTCTGCACAGACATCATTCAAATGTTGTTTGACTGGAGGGGGTCTTTAATTTACATGGATCTATTAAAAAATGCAATGACAACATACCAGAGGTGAGTACATCACAAACACAAGTGCAGGAGCGCTAAATAGGCCCGCATTGGGTCAGGTCAGGCAGGTGTTACTAATAACATTAATGATGGCTCTGTTTCATTGAAGCGTCCAAGTAAGTCATACCAGTGAGCCATCATGCACAATAAATGCAACCTAAATGGCATGCAGCCAGCTTTATAGTGATATTGATTGCACCTGTGCTTTTCCTGCTGTGACATGTTCTAAATGTCTGCTGTAAAAAAAGGCCTATTAGTTCAAACACAAAAGGCAGAAATAAGGTTGTAGCTGTGTGGTTATTGATCCTGAACTTAATGCACTATGGCGACTGCACTCTTGTGACAATACATTTACAAGTGAGTGGTTTGTACTGTTTAAAAGATTTTTTTTCGTGTCTTTTTCCTGAGTATATTCATGTCAGTTGTTTTCTCTTCATGACAAGTTTGTTTGAGGACTCCTGCTGTGTCATTTTTTTGTTTGTTTATTATCTACTGGGGCTGAATAAAGGTCTTTTTTGAATGATGTCACTTCTTTATAGGATAATTCTAGTTTATCATAACTTCCACAATATCTGAGGAACCACCTCAAGTATAAGATCAATGCAATGTCAATGAGTTCTCAGATCCAAGCAGTTACTTCGGTGAGTGCAGTGTTATCATAGCAGACAGAACGATGGCCAACAAAAATACAGTATGACCCACATTGTAAGAAAGTGGATTTATGTTTTAATGAGCATTTATATTTCTGCATCATATATTTGACGTCTTCCTGTGCTGACCAACCTCGCACTGTTGAAAGGTGCATGTAGAAGAGGAAGGGAGGCAGTGAACAAATTGTCCCTACGTTATTGATGTCATAGTAAGGGAAGGGCTCTTGTTTACCCTTCCCTCAGGAAAAGAAATTAGTGGCCTTGTTTTAAACTTAGTGAGTGCCCCCACAGACTGCAGAGTGGATACGCAGCGATACTTCTGGTGTGTCGTCTAATTTCCTTCTTTTAGAATCCTTATACTAATAAAACATTTAGCATACATTCCATGATAAACCTGTTAACTGTCACTCACTGCGAGATGACAATCTGCCTGTGATGTGTCTCTATAAGCGGATGTTTGGGCTCAATTAGGAATAATTAAGACAAACAGAATCCATAGCCAAACAACAAGTCAAGGTACCAGATGGCAAATGTGAATGTTCTGATCAAGGAGAGTATGTGTAGGAAGTGATGGATGATAAACTAAGATAGTTGGATGACTTAAAGTTAACCCTCAAAGTTTGAAAGTGCAACAACGATCCATCGTCAGTTTATTCAGAGACAGAATAATAACAATATAACAATGTATGTACAGCCTGTTTTCCCCGCTGGATTCCTCCTCTCTGTAGCATATTGCAGATGTATTATAGATGATATTCTTGTATAAAGCAGTGGTGCAAGTACATTGAAGTTCCTGCTGGTGCAGTCCTCTTTGTCTGAATCATCACTTGGTGTAACTGTTTCCACCACTGTGCCTGTCTGATTCCTCTCAAATATTTGTGGAATACCCCCCCCCCCCAAGTCAAGAGAACAAGACACAACAAGAATGGAGGGGAAGAGGGGAAGAACCCATTTGATTTTAACTCTGTAGTGTCACCCTTAGGATGAACATTACATTTGTATCTCCACTTTGGTTAAATGATTAGGTTGGTGTAATTCTCACTTTTTGACTTTCCTAGCCTGACTGACTTTCTGAAGAGCTTTTGTGAAGCTCAGGGTGGTCGGCCCTGGTCGTCACCAAATTGGCAGTCCTGACTCCACCAGTTCCAAAAATGGGAAGAGAGTGGAGGTCAACAATGAGCCTGCGCTTACTGAAAACAGCCCTGTAAAACTGCCAAGAGCGCCACCAATATACGAAGTGCGTAATAGCCTCACTACCCGACTGTGCATGGGCACTCAGTCCATGGTGCGAAGTAGCAGACCAGATTTGTAATTGCGCCTTTTTCTTCTGTCAGTTCTACAAATACTACTATTAGTACCTATACGAGAGTTTATAAAGCCTACGTCGCTTATCTTATGATCAGACGTGATCAGAGCAACTCCTATAAAATATTTAAATGTGATCATTCAGTAGCATCTGTAGCTGATGAAATTAGTCCCCCTACGAACGCAAGCCCACTCCTGTGACAACTATTTTAGAGGTGGAAACATTTGACTGCCAGATTAGTTTTTACTCTTTTTTTTACGGCCATTCCCCAATGTTAAAATTAACAAAATAATGACAATGATGATTTTTTTAAACCAATTAAAAGGTCTTACGTAAACTTTAATAGTCCCAACAATAATTCTATATTTTATATGTTTCTCCGGGATGCTGAGACTGTAGCTCTGCTGCCTCATTCTGTAAAGGCACACACCTGAATATGACAACTGTCCATGTAAATAAGACCAAATACAGTGGTATAAACATGTTTTCCCACTTTAGTCTGGTCCATGTTTAATTGTTTTCTTAATATTTAATTATAATGATAAAGCTAGCAAAAATCTACCAAATTTACTGGCATACTGTAAACTTTTAATAGTCCATGACATTAAAGCAATTTTGCAATCTGGATATAAAAAAAGATGTGTGTGTGTGTGTGTGTGTGTTCGAAGTTTGGTGAGAATCCTCCAGTCAATGAGTCACTCTGGGAGTTTATGGCTCCAAATACACTTTTCCAAGCAAGCTGTCTTCCTGTCTTCAATGTAACAACTCATGCTCTCTGCATCACTCCGCTTCCTTTTCTGCTGCTTTAATAATTCCATTTGTAGCTTCCAATCCCCCTTTATTAAATCCTCCTCCCTCTCACCTAGTCTCTCTCCTCCTCCTCTCCTCTCTGGTCCCTGCTGGCAGGTGAGTTCTAATGAGAAAACACACCGGGGACCAACAGAATAATTAGGTTAACCAAATAATTGCATGTCCCCCCCCTTCTCCTTCTCGCCCGCGCAACAGACACCACACAGAATTCGCCAAAATATGATTATTGCCGAAGGGAAGGGAACTGCTTAAAATCCCTGTGCTCCCCTAAGGGTCGTGTATGTGGATATGTGTGTGTGTGTGTTTTGTGTGTGTTGTGTGTGTGTGTTGTGTGTGCATACTGTACACATAGGCCCCATCAACCATGTGTGATTTGTTGTGTGTGTCTGCTCGTGAAGGTCGTCGGTAAGTGTTGTAGGGCAGTGTCACAACTGGCTCCCTTGCACCTTATCAACAAACACACACCACAGCCACGGCACGACACACCGGGCACACCACCCACACACAACCACACACACACACACACACACTCTATTTCTCTCTCTCTCTCCAGGGACTAACAGATAGCACACATTACTGTCAGGCTCATCTGCCTCTAATTGGCTGTGATCGGAGCCCGTCGCCCCCGGAGGGAGGGGCCTCAGATTCAATTAAACAGTGTGATTGGTCCCTTTAAATATTTAATGTCCAGGACTAAAAACAGCCAGGGCAACACTTCCTGGAATCAAACTCGCTATGACCAATGTCGACAGAGTGTGTGTTTGTGCATGCAGTCTATTTGTATCCATGCATGGGCTGTATATATTTGTCTTCCTGGATGTGTGTGTGTGTTCTTTCATTTTATTTTGGTGTGCACTTATGTGTGTGCATACACCTACAGTGTGTACGTGTGCTGATTTAATCTGTGTGTTCTGCACAGTATACCAATCTTTCCCTTATGTGTGTGTGTTGTTCCTTTAAATTTTTGACTGTGTGTGTGTGTGCGTGTGGGTGTATGCGTATGTGTGGGTGTGTGTGTGTGTGTGTGTGATGTCCACAACTCAGCAGTAGCTGATACAGCCATGTCAAACTTTTCCTCATTTGACTTTTATTTGACTCACTTCACAGTGCAGTGACTCACTTTTTTGCCTTTGACTGAAAAACTTCCTCATTTGAAGGAAAGAAGGGAAGACAACCATTGTTTTTGAACTGTTTGGGCCTGGTTACACATTCATCACTGTTACAGGAACTGGTAAGGAAGTAATTGTTCAGGTTCAGGTTTAGGCCAGCACTGTACTGTTTTCAGGCCACCTCAGAGCACTCATCATCATCTGTCCTGCTAGTATGTAGCCGCATAAGGTGTGAGCACCTTTACAGGGTGGAGTGATCAGAGATTTGTTCTCCTGTCAACAGAGGAGTCAAGCCTGGCTAAACAAGGAGCCCATTCATGCACTTGTCGATTTGCTTTGCTCACTCATTCACTCTTTAAAGTGGACTTTGCTCTTTGCAGGTACAACATTTGTGCTTGTGAAGCAGAGCGGGCGGGCATCTTCCTTATCAATGTTAGACTGATATGAGTGAAAAATAGCCTCACGTAGGACAGAAACTGTGTGTGAGCGCGCACACACTACCGCCTTATACGTGCGCACCAGAGTTGCTCTAATATTTCTTGTGTGTCTGGCATGTACAAATTTTAATGTGATGTTTGCATGACTGTGTGAATGGCAAATAAATGATTAGGCAGTACTTATCATTGCTGTAGAATAAGCTGCAGTATTCACTATGAAATTGCCATGTTTGAACCACTGTATCCCCCTCTTCACAGCTCTGATACACACGGGCTAACAAGCACTGGTGGCCTCTTCTCCCTTTTTCTCGTATATTCCACCCCCTACCCACATTTTTGCATCTTTTCCAAAGGATTAAATACAGACATTCAACCACAACAAAAGAAATAAACATAATTCCTGCTTGGATATAAGTAAGCTTAATATATTTCATAACAAAAATAAAGCATCTTCCTGTACTGACTCTCACATCTCCTCCTTGCACACATATATCCAAACCATATACAAGACTTGACATCATTCAGATATACTGTAATATAATAAGAAACATGGATGACAAGAATAACATTGACTAAAAAAATGACATTGAGATTGTGATACTGATGGTTACAAGAAACCGGACCACACAGAACTCTTGCATTTCTCCAAAATCATCAAAACATCTTTTTTGTTCTTTCTTTTGTACTGGAAGAGACAGAAAGCAAACGTCCACACGTATAAATAGTTTCTAAGTAGCGGCGCATCTTCCTTCTCAAATTTAACTGTACATAGCAAGTGGGCAAAGTCACAGACCACCAAGGGTCTCACAGAAGATTTCCTCTTTATCAGAGCAAACATCCCAAAACTCAAAATGTTTGATACTCCATAGAGAGTCTTATGGGGGTAAAAAAACACCTCCATTTCTCTCTCTCTTTCTCTCTTTCCATTGTTTTTCCTATATCTTTCTTTCTTCCTTCCTGTGTTTGCAAGAGTCATTTAAACAGGGCACAGCGCTTTCATGTTTCCCAGCTGGAGGTCGTCCACCGCTGTTTTGGACTCTGAGCACCAGATTCCCACGAAAGCTTGATCCAACTGTTCCATAGCCGTTTCTGTTGTACATCTTGTTCAAACAAAATCTGTCAAAATGTTCAACACAAATCCCTTTCATCATCTCCCTTCGGCCTCTTTCTGCCCTGTCCGAGCTCTACGGAGAAAGATGCTCTTTTCTGCTTATTCAGGGTTCAGTTGTCTGGGTAGGGGGCGTACCACAGAGGAAGTCATCATCACTGGTTACTGTTTTTTGAGAAAAAGCACCTTTGGCATCTTATTTATTTTTGTCTCTTGTTTCAGTCTGTCGTCTTTACAGAAAAGTTAGATTTTTTTTTAACGAAGGTTGCATGGCAGTGGGGAAGAGGACAGAGCAGGTCTCCTGTTGGTGGAATTCTCTATTTAGGTCCCTCCCACGCTGAAGTCCCTTGTTCTGATTGGTCTCACCTCACGTCCACTGTGAGAGAGAGAGAGACAAGGCTGAGATTAGCATCATAATTTTACAGAGACATGGGGTTGCATCATGAAAAAAAATAAAATTTTCGATTGTTGCATTTTGTGCCCAACTGCATCAATTTTTTTCATGCATTTCAAACAAGCTGACACAACACACACAAGACCCACAATGTTCTGAATCATGTTTCTCCAGATTTCAAAGACAGTGATTAAACCAGGCATCATTATGTCCAGTCAAAATATGTGTCTTTTTTGTGTCTAAAGTAAAAGACAGAGAGGTGGACAAGAAAACTTTTTTTTTTTTTTTTACAAACACCAAGTCTGTCTTTTAGTTACAGACAAAGATGAGAGAGAATAAATATTGTGATGACAAGGGGAGGGAGAACAAAAGCAAAACATGGTGTCCTTTAAGCAGTGAAAAAACAGTGCAGCTGGTGTTCTCTTACTGTATAATACAACAAAAACAGTACACACAACCACATACAAGCACAACACTGTGACACAAAGCAGTTGTATGTAGTGTGCATGCTCAGCAGGCCACAAAATCAGCATGCAGCATTGGGGCACAAGCAAGGTACTCCTTAGCCCTCCCTCTTTTCACACTGATTGGCTGTGATGTGATTGGTGATGGTGATTGGCCCTTTTTGTGCCCTGATTGGGCCAGTGCAGTGCCAGAAGGTGAGAGGACGCTCTGGTGCTAAAGTCCTACCTGTTCCCTTCACAGCTCTCCAGTGGACTTTGGGTAATGAGTGCAACTTTATTATGTTGCCAATAAATCCTTGCTGGGCCTTAGCTTTTTAGGTTTCCTTTTTTTACCTTTAGCCCTACGATGGCCTGAAAACACAAAGTCGGCATAGGAAGGAGGGTTAAAAGCAAGAAGCAGGGTTTATGACACAGAAAGAGGCAAAACAGCCCTGGGACAGAAGCAGAGAGTGCAAAGATATGACACACAATAAATACTTCAGATGCCTTATCAGCACACATCACAACGCTTATCTGCTCCCAGGGAGAGAAAGACTTCAGATCAAGGCACTGGTGGATTTACCTGCTGTCATGCCAAGCAGCCTTTGGACACCCTCCCTTAACACACAGACTCATATACACTTTCGCACAAACACATCCTTGCCTAACAAGGCACAAACACGCTTTGCAATAGCAGGCCACCTCACAGGTGTGTCTCTCTGTTTATGAGCAATCATAGAAAAAGGTCATCCAGTGCAAAGCCCAAGAGCCAGACAGAGAGAGAGAGAGAGACCATTAGACAGAGGGAAGACAGCAGGAAGGCATGATGATGCATGATGACGTAGGGATGAGGGTGGGACTCAGCCATCAAACTGATTGAAAAAGGCGTTGCTAAACTATTTGTGATAATGCAACAATGAGGTATAATAACTTTGAGGGGTCAGATTTACCTGTTTCTGCGTCTGAGTGCTCGACCACATGATGCTGTGACGTGCACACACACTCCAGGTGGTCTTCTAACCGCACAAAGACCTCTTTCAGCTTGGGTTTCCTCCTCACGTACTCCACCTTTGCTACCTGAAGAGAGGAAGAGAGAAAAGGTTAGCTACAGAGTCTGCTCATTACTCTTTGCCGTGTGTGTGTGTCGTCAATGAAAGCACACACTCTTTGCCCATCCGCTATCATCAAGAGGCGTAGCGCTGTGACTGATGACTCTTTCATAAACCAATTCATAAAAAACACCAGCCGTTACTTTGCCTCGCTGTGTTTAAAGTGTGACGGCAACATTCCTCAGAGGCTGATGCATTGAGTTCTGCTTGTTGTGTGCTCTATGGGCTGTTGATCAGGTGTGTAAATACTGAATGGAGTGTATGACCCTGTCAAAGCAAGCTCAAACAATGGGAGAGGAGAGATGGAGAGTAGTGGGGAGCGGTATACGCCCTAAGGCCCAGGGAAGGTTTACCCTGGCAGGAGAAGAGAGGCTGAGGGAGATCCCCCCCTGCTCTAGGCCTGGAGCATCCACATCCAGACAGACACACACCTAAACTCCTTCACCTTGTTCCGACATGTAGGCTGTTTTTAAACCACATTAATACTTCTTCATGGCTTAGGGAAAGTGTTGCTTAACATGTGCATGCAAAAAATACAGTTTACATGGTCTAATCTAAGCTGTAGAACCTCAGAAAGCGGCCCTTCCAATCTAACAAACACAAAAGCAATGCAGGCATTCCTATCCTTCAGTCCAGCTAACACCCTCTCAGTTTAACACAACAGGGCTGACCTCCACTTCCCACCCAACAGCTAGTAATGAAAAGGACCAATCCTCGGAGGGTTATGAATAGGCTATGTTGATTAAAGCTTAGATGAAAGCTGAATAGAGAGGGTTGCATGGAGGTTATGATGATCTTGTTGTGTAACTCAGGGGAGGTGGCTACATGCTTTTCCCTTCTCTGATCTGAGTGCCAAGGGCAGGTAACCTCCCCATCCACCACTGCGGGCCTGGGGGCCACATGGAAACAATATCCCCTGCTTCACCAATCTTCCTGGTCACTGCACGAGAGAGGATATTGGCTGACAATCTCCCAGCGCTCTCTGGTGTTATGAACAACACCAGTTTTCCAGTCTGCATGAGGCTCACACACGCACAGACAGGGCTAAAACTGATGAGAGGCTTTCTTCCTCTATCCTGTGATGGCATACGGCCAAGGCTGGCTTTCACTGGTGAATTAGTCATGCAGACAAATGAACATACCAATCCCTGTCTGATAAAACAAAGTATAATGTTGACATTCACGACATTCACACAGCTAGAGCTGCCTCATGTCAGTGCTGTGACAATGGCTGGAGGGTCATCTGGTGAGGCTAAAACTGAAAGCAGGGACCAGTGGTTTCACCAGCCACTCCTTTGCAATAGTTTCTTTCCATGGAGAGAGGAGAAAGAGGAAGAAGAGAGGGAGTGAAAAGAGAGTAAGCAAGCAGATGAGGTATGCAGTGAGCAAACAGAGGACAATGGTGTCTGGGTTAGTGGTGGTGTTTTCGGTGTTATCGGCCCTGACAGAGAGAGAGAGTGGGTGAAAGGGCCAGAGCAAGAAAGAACTGAGAGCAGGAAGGTGGACCATCCCTCTCATTAGGGAACGTGTGTATGTGTGTGTGTGTGTGCGTGTGCGTGTCTGTGTGTGTGTGTGTCTACTGGAGTCAATCTTGAATAATTTTACATAATCCATGAATGAAGACAGCACAGCGGAGACGAAGCCGACATTTGGAACACCAATCAGCTCTCTGCAGAGAATGTGCTTTCTGCTGGCTAATGCTATTGTGAATGTGTGTGTCTGTGTGTGTGTGTTAGCAGTCTCATTTCAAAATGCTAC